CCACAAATCACAAGGGGCCCAATTACATGGAGGTAAGCTGTTGACACTGAGAGGTGCATGTAATGCCTTCTCTTTACTCTGCAGCATGTTTCTTTATCTACTGGAACAGCTATCAGTGAAAACAAATCACTAACATTAACTAAGCGAATGGCTGGCTGATCCATCTGATGCTTTGAGTATTAACTCCAAAAGTAATAGAACTATAATATAATACATTACTGGACCCAATGTATGTAACAATGCATCAACTTATAAGCATATCAGGATGTGAAACAAAAGACTTACTAAATGAGTTTAAAGGCTGCACTATTGGTCACCCAAAGCATAAACCAAAAGGTTAAACCAATATATAGGGAAAGAAACATAGTTTTTGGTTGCAGATCCTAATATCTACAACAGGATAGAGAATAAAACTATAAAATAAAACATAAACACAAATCATCATAAATTGGCCTTACTTCATAAAACCAGATCTAATAGCCTCATACAGATGAGCATAAGCCAGTTCAAATGGCAGCTGGAGACATATGATACTCAGAATCACGATGGCATCATTTCTGAATCTCATCAGATGTCCAAACCATTCTTCTCTTTGGAAAACCTCTTTCTCTTTTGATTTCTCCATCCCCCATCTCCTCATGAGTTCCACAGGGGACTGGAAGGATCTCCACTCCATTTCCAAAAATTTATATCCAGGTTCTGTTTCAACTGGATAATTAATCTGCCACCTACACTACCCAATTAACCAAATAAAAAGAAGAAAGAAAAATGAAATTGAAGAAATAAAAAACAGAACGAGAAAGTAGCAATAAAGAAATACAAGGAAAAGCTTGGTTATATCGGATTACTGCCAGCCAAGAATCGAAATTTCATTTCGGTGCATAGTTTCGGTGAGCTTGGAAACGGAAGCATTTCGGTAATCTTTCAGAAATATTTCGGAAACAAGATGGAAACAAAGAAAGAGATGAAAATTTATTTCCGAAACATTGGTCGAAACATAGGTCAAAACACCTCAAAAATAGGAATTTTGATATTCAATTAATGATTCGTTTCGGTTTCCATGGAAACGGAAACATTTTGGATGTTTCAAAATGAAAGTTAATTCCTTGCTGACAGCATTTTTTTACTTTTTAATTTGTTTGATTACCAAACAAAGGGTAACCAAGCAGTCTTGAATACTGATGTCATACAGAATTACCTGGCTAAAAGAACAGAGTTTTGACGCTTCCAGAATTGGAGAAATAATACAGCCCATGATATAACGCTTATAAAGAAAACAGGAAGAACCAAAAACTGCATTGATCTGAAGAAAAGCAATAATCAAGTACAGAAATTATTCAATAAAATACGTAGGCAACATTCAGAAACTTTCATCAGAATGCACATGGAAAGCTAAGTGGCCTACCTGAAATCAACCAACTGCAAGGTAAGCCCAAATGCAGCTGGAAATAACATCCATCGGGTGTACATCCCAAGGAAATCAAAATAAGTTGCTATCTACATGCACATTACACCGTACGAAGATTAACTAACAACCATGAACGTGAAATTATTGGAAACATTAATTTTGTCTGTAAGTTGAAATTGGAATTGAGCTATTATACATGAATACAGTTTTCAAATGCAAGAAATTCAAGTGAACACTTACCTTCATCCCAAAATATGAACAGATCTCATCAATAGGCTGATTTGTGAAGTCCCTCCATTTCAGAGCCCAACTTCTTAGAAGCTGCTTCCTCTTTGTTTCATCTGTGCACCAAAAATTATCTTACATTACACTTTCTCAGGATCAGAGTAAGTGTAACACGTGAGAGCTAGCCTACCGTGTAAAGGAAAGACTTCTTTAACAATGCCATCGGATTGCAATTTCCGAAGTAGAGGTTCTTTTGGCTCCCAGCGGACCTCTTTGCTATTAGACTTTAATGTTACAACGAACTTGCTCTTATTCACCTGCAAAATTTTGTTTTTAATATGAATTCATTAAGGGATAGGAATTTGAATTTACCCAAAAACTATCAGTGAATGACATGAAACCCATAATATGATGTTAGTTATACCAGCATAGTTGTTTATTCCCTGTATGTTTGCATACAAATAGACACAGGGATATAAATAGACACTTGCATACTTATGTAAGGAAGTAGAGTTTTTGTCTACGTTTACAAACACTCTTAAGAAACGAGAAAACAAAAGATTTTAACCATGGTAAGTGTTTTGATTGAGAAAATCTGAGGGTTTCTGTGAAGGATGAGGAAATTGGAGAAATAGGGAGAAGTTATCTTGGGATATAGTCACGTGAACATGATGTGGCTCATAAAATCAAAACAGATTGCCTTAAGGCCACTATGCTGTTTGGGACAGAATATCAGCCACTATGAAACAACACATTCACAAAATAGATTCGCAAAAATGAGGATGTAAAGAAGGATTTAGGGCTAACTGAAAGAAAAAAAATAGATGAAATAGACGTGCAAGGATAAAGGACAGACCAAAATTGATATGAAATGAGCAAGTGAAGGATGATACAGTTGCTTGTAATTTAACTAAACATATAGCTCTTGACAGATCCGGATGACGAAAATTTAATGATGTTGCCCGTTGGTTGTTACCTGCGTTAACAAAACTAATTCTAAATTGCAAGAAGAATCAAACTAGTAAAAGGAGATAGACAATAGTCAACTCCTAGAGAATCCAATTAGTCGGATACATAAATCAATTGTAACAGTGCCACTACACATGAGGTGGCTACATGTTCCACCTTTTCTCTAAGTGGCCTTCTATACAACAATATGTTACAAAGATTGTCATAGCAAGGATAATTAGTATGAAAATGAAGAAAGAAGAACCATAGGGAATATAGATAACTCACAATCCCGTTTATTATGTGCTGGTAGCTGTGGAAACGCTCACACCAACTAAACAATGAACCATCAGGTTGCCTGACAAAGGCTTCAGCCCCATCCCACTCAAACTGTAAATCCACTCCTGTATCAAGATAAAATACTCAGTAAACAAAATTACTACCTCTTTATCAGTGCAAACGGTGGGATACCATCAGGGTTGGTAGACAATCACACACCCGCACACACACGCACAGAGAAGTGAAACATTGCAAGAAAAGTAAAACAGGAACTGTGTTATTATCACCAATGTGGGTTCTTTTTTTCAATTGCAACTCAGCCGCAGCTTTCCCCAAAGTCTCCAAAGGCGCTGCCAACTGAAAAATAATTAATTATGAAAGGGATGAATAAACAAACAATGTCAATGTAGGATCTGACTCAGCAGCCTTTTGCATCCAATTTTCATTAGAATTTTTCAATAGAAAGAAAGAAAAAAAATAAATAAGAACAGTATAATTAGTCTAATTATACAGAACTCATCAGCAAAATACAAGGAAGAATTCATTAAAAATTTATATTGTAGCATCGGTTGAAGAAGACATCAAATATAAGTTGGGCGGAATGAATATAAAAACCTTCATACTTGAACCATAATCCATGAATCACTTAGAGCTAAAGAGTTCACCTATAAGCAGTTATTTCTTATCATAGATAGGATTTTGTGTGCAATGTACAAATACAAAATGAATTTCATATGTGAAAATCTCAAAGGATAAATCAAAGCCAAGAGGATAAAAGTTTAACCTTGATAAATTCATCATTCAGGCCAACAACTCTATCAACTATTAGTCCCGCCTTCCTGAACTCATCGACCAGAACCTCCACACAATCATATTTCTCATCCTCTTGTTCCACAGCTTTCTTTGGAACTACGAACCCTATCTCAAAAGCAGTTTGTTCTTCCCCTCCATGCCCATTCATTTCCAGCCTCTCCCACCCACCAACCCACCTCACACCCCTTGACAAGAAAACCCAAAAGAGAAGTTTCAAAAACTCAAAACAACCAAAAACTCTGAATTTCGAATCAATCGAAGCAGATTCAACTCCAAAGGCGACATGGATGTCTTCGTTTAGAAATTGAATGTAGCTTCAACCCTAGAAGCTAGGTTCTGCTACAATGGCGATTTGGTTCTCTGCCTAAAGAACACAGTTTTCCTAGAATCCAACCAAAAATGTGCAAGTTTGCTTAAAAACAGAGACAGGTGTATGTATAATCGGAAATTGGGGAAGATAGCTGTCATTTCGCGATTGACACAGAAAAGGTGGAAGGAAGAGGACACGTGGTGTTGTATGTTGTTTTGTGAAAATCGTTTTTGTCTATGAGTAGTAATCATTCGATTGAGTCGCGAGGCACAACTGCCAATGCATCATCGTTTTCCGTGACGAATTAAATGGGTATCTGATCCACTCGTGACCCATCTCTCTCTCTCTCTCTCTCTCTCTCTATGCAATTTCAAGTTGCAGGTGATGGTGGGGAATGACGATGAAGAGAGAGATGGGTTACCACGAAGTTTGGGCCAACTGCTGAATTAATACATTATCAATGGTGGAAATGGAATACATGTGTGTGGATTGTTGGGTTGTAAAAAGCTGCATATTCCTTTTCACTTTGGCTGTTGGTTCGACGTCTCCCATTGCAGGCTGAACTTTAGAGGAATAGATGGCTGAGACCTGTGATCAGGCACCCAAGAACCAAAGGGGACCATCCGGCCATGGCTTTATTTATCACAGAAGACATTCCTCACAGACTACTCCCATGGATCCCTTGGGAGGGATTTTCTAATAAATTTCCTTCATAAATATTTTTTAGGGCTAATCACTTTGAACGCCGAAAGATCCTTCAATTTTTAAATTACACCATCAATGTGATAAATTGATAACAACTAGACCTGATCCAGATTGTTATATAATTTTTTGATATAAATTAAAATATGATAGGTGTAAATGTTTCGGGCTCGAGGATTGAGTATGCCTATCACTATAAATTTTTGTTTTCGAAGAATTTAACACTATTTTATGTATTAAAAATAAGGTTTTTAAATCAGATAGAGATTAGTTCTATCATGTACAACTTACACGAGGCGATTGTTATGTGAATTAACACGTAAGTTCATATTTGAAACACTTGTAATTCACGTATTTTAATATATAATGAAAAATGAACAGAGTCTAGTGAGGTTCATATTACTATTAATTCATAATTGGGTATAAATTAAAATTTTTAATGTTTGAGGGTATAAATTAAAAATTAAAATATTATTTGAGATGCAAAGTGAGATTAGTCTTTTTTTTTTTAATATATCATATATATATTTATAATATAAAATAAAATAAGTTTTAATAAGTTCATTCAACGGTCTCAAATAAATTTAGTCATCAACATTTTTTTCAAAATCATTCATGTTACATTGTACCTTCAGACATGAGTTACCCCTAGTAAATGAATAAGAGATAAATTAAAATATTCAAAAATTCTACTTCTCAACTTAAAATATTTTTCTTAAAACGGTATCTGTCCACATTAAAAACTATGTAAGGTGTATAAATGAAAAAACTACAAATTTATCTTCGGGATATAATAAAGCCTAAACTTATTTGCATATTGAACTAATGAATACAATACTGGAATACCTTAGGAAAAATCAAATACCAATTGTGCGTGCAAGATCCTGCACAATATAAAAAACGAGAACAGATCTCTCCCTTGGTGAACTCGAGTGAGCCAGTTGAGTGACCAACCACGCTGCTTGGAACAGCCTGCGAGGTCCGGTGGTAACCTGGAACGGCAACGGGAGACCCTGGGGGAGCGGAAAAAAGATCCAGTAAGGCTGAAAGAGGTTCCTGGAACAAAGAAGAACAAGTTAGAAGGGCGTCGGAGTGTTTTCCGGCGTATCCCCTCCGACGATCTAGTCAGTCTTTTAGAAAGAGAGAGGAAGGAGAAAACACTGAGTGAGTATTGTAGTAAAGAGTTTTTTTGTTGCATACCCGTCTTGCCTTTTGCAAGGAGTATTTATACCTCAAAAACTCATGATTGCTGTCAGTGTAGTCAGTAGGTGATCATTAGGTACAGGCAGTGTGCGCACTGATTCTGATGAGGAATGTCTTCTCTTCTTAACTGTTCGGGGTCCCGAGCAATCAATGCTGTGTCATCGGATGCCGACGGTACAATGTACTCCTCTCGGGGAGGATGCAATAAATGCTCTGTATTAGGAGCATTTATTGCCTTTCATTTCCGAGCCTTACCGCATTTAATGCGGTCTCATCAAGGGAATGGTGTAATTAATCGTTTGTTTTTCCAAGTCGCGTGTCAGCAACGGCATGCGGTTTCTGTCTTTGATGTGATATCATACGCCACGCGTCCGTCCCCTATTGGCTGTGACCCCTGTATTCCAGTACGTTCTGACACTAATTGTATAAGACGAGGTCATGATGAATAGCTTAGACTAGCCTAGGCTAATGACCTATACGTCAATAGCTTATCCTGGAGTAGAGGAAGCGTCCAGGACGGGGGTACCTCTCGACACCGAGGAAAGGCTCATCTCGGACCCGAGGGAGGTATACCGACCGAGGTACCATATCAGACGAGGCTACGTGTCGGTTGTAAAACATACTGAATGCCATGATCCTATATGACGAGTACCTCGGGGGCGAGGACCTTTATGCGCCGATGGTGCTTGATCTTAGCAAGTGTTTTGGTAAATATCGAGGACACGTGTCTTCATCCTGGAGTATTTCAGAAAAGTCCCATCACCAATAACTGAAATTCTAGGCCCTGTTTAGATTCTGTTTCAAAAACATGTTTTTGGTTTTTGGGTTCTAAAAATGAGCAAAAACGTGATGTTATTGTACAGTGAATCTCTTTTAAGAATTCGAAGTAGATTTAAGTTTTTGAAAATCACCTATTTTAATTTTTTCTTAGTTGAATAATTTGAAAGCATAAAATACATAATCCTAATTTTACTAAGAATGTCTTTAAATTTACTTCTTAATGTTAAATACATTCGTTTGTGGTTGTTAATTTGCTTCTTAATGTATTGTTGGCTGTCACCTATATGTTTGCTACATAACGAAGAAAATAGTACTTGGCAAAGAAACACAACAAAAATTAACAGGTGAAACAATTTCAATCAGAAATGATTGAATTTTTTTTAAACCATCCCAAATCTTGGACCGAAGAAGAAAAAGAAATTGAAGAAAAAATATGAAGTCAAAGATTAACCGGATATAGTTGAATGTTGAGTGTTTATTGCATATATCCATACTTTGACTTGTCAATTTTTGAAATGTAATTTAAGGTTCCAATTTTAAGATTTCAATTTTTGGGTTTGAATAACACTTTTATTAATGTTCAATTATTCTAGCTTATGTATTTGGTGAGACTTTATATAAGGCTACTATTTAATGCCATTGTTTTTTAAAAACTCTATTTCCTGTTACTATTTATTCCCACTATTTAGTATCAATATTTCCTATCACTATTTCAAATGGTACAAGTTGTATCGATTCATAGTGTTGAAACATATTTGACCCAAACATTTATGGCGTCGCTCCTTAGGAACACTATTTGGTACATAAATTAATAAGCATAATATTTTTTTAAATTTAAGCATAATATTTCATATTCCCCATTTTTCTAAGGATCTTTTGTTTATAGTGTCTATATTTTGCATTAATTTATTTTTCCTATTTCTTGTCTCCTTTGGTGACATTATGTGCACGACAATGTTTTGAGTATCTCTTTTGGTGCAACTCTTTGATGACAATATATTATTATTATTTGGGGTCAATCTATTGTTATTACTCTTTAGTGACACTATTTGGGCACTATTAGTGGACATTATATGATGCCACTGTTTGATGTCTATTGCCATTATCTCTCGTCACTCTTTAGTGATACTATTTACATAACAATATTTGGTGTCCCTCTTTTGCTGTCATTTTTTATGGCAATATATATTACCATTATTTGAGGTCAATTTATTGTTGCCACTTTTTAGTGACACTACTTGGGCACTATTAGGGAACATTATATGATGTCACTAATTGGTGCCTATTCTCACTATCTCCTATCACTCTTTGGTGAGACTATTTGCATACCAATATCTCGTGTCTCTCTTTTGCTGTCATTCTTTGATAACAACATATATTGCCATTATTTGGAGTCAATCTATTATAATCACTCTTTAGTGACACTATTTTAGCACTACTAAGGGGCATTATATGATCTCACTGATTGGTGTCCATTCTTAATTCTTCTCTCCCTCTTTAGTGACATTACTTGAAGCATCATTGCACACATACACCCTAAATTCAATATGATTGACATTAATAAAATGTACTAACTTAAACATATTCTTCATATCATCATCATTTCGTAAGGAACAATTCGGATGGCCTGGAATTGAATAGTAAGTGGTGTGTTTACTAGTTTGGCATGAAGCAGACCACTCTTGCTTAGAAGATCAATAATATACTTAGATTGTGAGATACAACAAAATTCCAGGTAACAGTAATACCAAGGAAATGATGTACGTCCAAGCTAGTCACGAAAATTTAGAATTGAGCGAAGAAGTAACAAAATTTAACAAGGACTGAGAAGATGTCATGAGGAGAATGCCATTGACATATAATAGTAAAACAACCATGTTTGTGGCGACGCTGTAGATGAACATGGAAGAGTTAGAGCGAATACACTGAAAACCTTGGTGATACAAGAAATAGGTAGGGTGAACAAAACCTTTGCGTTGCTTCATGCATACCTTTTTGGTAAGTGATCCCTGCAATAATGCGTCCTTAACGTCGAGTTGATGGATTGGTCAACCACGAGACAAAGCAAGAGACAAAATGGTGCGGATGGTTGTGGCTTTAACAACTGGGCTATAAGTTTTATCATAATCAATATCGTGTTGTGGAGTAAAGTC